AGACTGAGCCACCCAGGCACCCCATAAAGCTACTATTTTTAAGCTCTGCCCAAACTCAACCAATTCTTTGTTTTGCAAGGCTCACCTCATAATCGTTCATGCCAGGTCTGAAAACCTTATAAATATCCTAATTTTCCCTTTTTGAGATACCAATGGACTGTCAAGAGAGTATTTTCCATTTCTGCGGTGGGTTCAATAAACTCAGCTCTGCTTGATCACTAGCTGATATGGTGGTCTTTGGGGGTCTTGACAGTAGATACACTGTAAGTTTTTGGTGGACACGTACATTCATTCTCATTGACTATATGCCTAGGAGTGAACCTTGAGATCATAGAATAAGAATATGGAATATATTGTCAAGTAGTGGCCTCCTCCCTATATCCATGTCTTTTTCTAGCTCCCACACACATTAGTTATGCGAGTAGCTTTGGCCAATAGCTTATCAGCGAACGTGACATAATGTTCAGAAATCTGAAAAGTGTATGTCCTCTTGGAACACTGTTGCCATGTGAAGAAGCCTGGGTTAGCTTCCTGAAGACAGGGAACCAACAGCCATCACCGAACATAAGAATGAAGTCGTTTTATCCGGTCCCAGACAAGCCATAATGCATTGCCCGGTCTTGTCTTCCCTGAGCAAGACTAGTGGGAGAACCATCTGGTTGAACTAAGTCCAAGTTGCTGATCCAGAGAATCACAAACAAATTAAAGATGTATTGTTTGATGCCCCTGAACCTTGAGATGGTTAGTTAATGGGACAATAGGTAACTGATATGGTGTTTATTAACTTTAATGGAAACTGCCAAACAGCTCTCCAAAGCGGCTGCACCATTTTAACACTCCCACCAAGAAAGGATGAGAGTTCAAGTTGTTCCACATCCTCACCGACACTTGGTATTGTCCTCCTTGTGTTTTTAGCCACTATTCACAGTAAGGAAGACCTTATCGCACTTTTTTGAATGAGTACTGAGTTGAGCATCTTTTCATATGTTTATTAGCCATTTGGATCTCTTTTTTTTTAAGTTTTTGTTCAAGTTGCTTGCCCGTTTTTAAAGTATTTTTTAGTATTCATGTTGGAGTTCTTTATAAGTTCAGGAGATGAGTCTTTCTATCAGCTATGTGTAAGTTAAGTGTTTTCTCCAATACCCAGTGGTCTGCCTTTTGATGTTCACAACGGTGTCTTTTGATGATCAGCGGTTTTAAATTTTGATGAATTCTAACTTTTTTTTTCATATATTGTCAGTACTTTTTGTGTCCTTTTTTTTTGTCAAAAATTTTTTTTAATGTTTTATTTATTCTTGAGAGAGAGAAAGAGACTCAGCATAAGTGAGGGAGGGGCAGAGCGAGAGAGGGACACAGAATCTGAAGCAGGCTCCAGGCTCTGAGCTGTCAGCACAGAGCCCAGCGTGAGACTCAAACTCGCAAGCTGTGAGATCGTGACCCGAGCCAAAGTTGGATGCTAAACCCAACGAGCCACCCGGGTGCCCCCTTTTCGTGTCCTTTTGAAGTCTTCATTTACCAAGGCCGTGAAGACATTTTTCTGTGTTCCCTTTTTCAAGCTTGTGGTAGATGGTCTCCATGAGGTTCACCAATTTCTTCCCTCTGCACACATAATGCCATTCCCCTAATGATAGAAACAATGTATTCTTCCTTTCCCTTGGAAGCCGGACTGGCTGGCCTCGTGACTCACTTGACCAACAGAATGTTGTGAAAGTAGACATTCTGGAACTTTGGAGACTGGTCATAAAAACCTTTAAGGTGTCCACCACGGTCTATCAGAACGCTCACACAAGAGGCAGCCAGCAAGCATGTCTAACTACCCTGAGATTCCTTGCTGGAGGAGTGCCCCCATTAACCTCCCAGCTATTTCAACCATCACAGATGAAGCAGCAGGCATGTAAGTGAAAGAGCACATCGAATATTTTATTTGCAAAAGGTGCTCTGTGAAGAAATGAGGCCCCAGATACATGGCCCCATCTGAGCTGTGACAGCCATTTTCAGTCTCCTAAGCCATCCTAGCTGAGGCCCCAGACGTGCTAGAGCAGAAATGGTTGTTCCTGGAAGTCCTCTCTGAACCAACGCTGACAAGTGGCTGTGGCCCGGGGTCTACTCTCCAGAGCGGTATTGCATTTAGGGTGGTTATTACTGGATCATCAGTGCTACCACCTTTGATACTGGTTACTATGTTCTCGTTGAACCCGAGGGAAAATGAAGACAGGGCCCATTTTGTCTCTCCCGCTGGATTTACAAAGTCCGGTACTTCTAGCTTTTATCACAGAACTGATATGACACTAATAAAGAGAATATAGATGAGCTTTCAGAAAAGAAGACTTTCCTCAAAGATGTACAGTTCCTCCCACAAATGACTCAGGAGGTTTTTAGGGCTCCAATATTTCTCATGATTGATTTAGTCTGACTGTGCTTTCTACCTACCTCAATTTTTATGTTGAGAAGACAGGAAAACCAGATTAGCCAAAGGGATGACTATTAAATTAAATAATATTAGTAAAGTTCATGGACTAGAGCGTAGGCTCACAGTGGACATAATTTGGCAGTGCCGTTGAACCTTTCTGGAACCATTTTAGGGCAATTCAACCTTTTGTTTGGAGCTTTGATGACTTAAGGAGGAAGAGTCAAAATCTGGGAGTCACTCTTATTCAGCGGAAGGAAGCTGTGTATTTCCTTGATCTAAGGATGCATTCTGACCATGAGGCCAACTGACTACACCCAGGGGCGGTGGGCCGGCAGGCAGCACACCCCACCCCCCCAACGCCCCCACCCGTCCCGGGCTGGTCCACCGTCCCCTGCCCACGACACAGAAGCCTCCCTCCCCGGCTGCTTTTCTCAATCACATACGCTTTCAAACATCCACACAACCATCTTGCCTTCTAATAGTTAAAGCAAACTAGACATTAATAAAACACGGTATTAACAACTATGTAAACGATGCCATTAGACTTCTGTGACAATTCCTATCTTACAGCTAAACAACTCAGGAATCAAACAGGTTAAGTGGTATAGACAAGGACTCACATTTATAACATGACAGGGCTGGGGCTCCATCCTGACTTGCAGGAACGAAATGGTCTATGCTCTGTCCACTGCTCCCGATTGAAGGAAAATAAAAGTTAAGGGCTAGAATGGAAAGAAAAGGGGTATTTTCTGAAACCAGGGCTAAATCTGGATGCTAACAATGATTGTATACCCCATGAGAAATTAATGACAAGAGTCTATTCAGAAGGAAAAAAGTTTTCTTAATTTCTGGGGCATTTGATAATTTCATGGATATTATATGAAAAGGAAATCACTGCATACAAACAAAGAATCACACTGAGGTGTTTACTGTATGTTAATTAATTGGAATTAAAATAAAAATGTAAAAAAAATAATAAACTGAAGCGCTTAGACAGTTTAATCGAAAGATGTTTAAATCAGGGGCGCCTGGGTGGCTCAGATGGCTAAGCGTCCGACTTCGGCTCAGGTCACAATCTCACGGTTCCTGGGTTTGAGTCCCGTGCTGGGCTCTGTGCTGCCAGCTCAGAGCCTGGAGTCTGCTTTGGATTCTGTGTCTCCCTCTCTCTCTGCCCCTCACCTGCTCAGGCTCTGTCTCTCTCTCTCTCTCTCTCTCTCAAAAATAAATAAATGAATAAAAATAAACCTTAAAAAATGTTTTTAAAAAGATGTTTAAATCAAATTTAAGGCTAATTCCATCTGGACTGATCATTTGCAGTGACCTGAATATCATTTTGAGGCATAATGTGCAGATTACACTTCTAAGTCAGAAAATGCTAGAATGATGAAATCTTTATACAGGGACCCCTGAACAACACAGGTTTGAATTGTGTGGGTTCATTTTTTTCAATAAATACAGGACAGTCCTGCAAATGTGTTTTCTCTTCCTTATGATTTCCTTAATCACACTTTCTTTTCTCTCGCTGAATTTATTGTGAGGATAAGTACACAATACACCTAAGATACAAAATATGCGTTAATGGACTGTTTGTGTTATTGGCAAGCCTTCTGGTCAATAGCAGACTGTTAGCAGTCAGCTTTGGTGGGGAGTCAAAAGTTATATGCAGATTTTCAACTCTGTCAGGGGCTCAGTGCTCCTAAGCCTCACACTCTTCAACAGTCAACTGTATTGTTTCTTCACAATCTTAAAGGATTTCTGCACCAACGTGGCCAGAAATTTTCTTCTGTGTATCCAAACAGATAGATAATTCCTCCCTCGATGCATTTAATTTGGTCAGCCTCGAAAGAATTCGGGCTAGAGGTAATATTTTACACGGGGTTCAGGATGCTACCAGCACAACGCATTTCAAATATACGTGATTTGCTGTTATAAGCAACTGAGTGCAATAAATTTATGCTGTTTTGCCAAAATCTGTCATGCGACGTTGTTATTCACCTGTTCAAGAATAAACATATCCTCTGTGTCATTGTTTTAAGTACTAAAGGGAGGTATAGACGATTTCATAGTCACGGCTGGAAATTATAACACACATATTGGTGCCTCCTCAGCAAGTGTTAGAAGTAGGCAAAAAATAAACCAGTGAAGACACGTATGTTCTGGACACTATCAACCACCTTGACCTGATTGATACCGATGTCACAGGTCACCTTTGTCAGAAAACTGTCCCAAGAATATAGTCGCAGCTTGTTTTCACCACAGAAAGTCCCAGCAGGCAGTCCCCGGGGACAGGAAGGGCCTCCGCCGTGTGGCACCTTCAAACCCGCACAGCAGCACCCCCTTTCCCACAACATTTGTCAGAAGAAATGGCAGACCTCGGTGGGCACATTTTCTGGTGCCTGGTGACCATCTAGAACTTTCACGAAGACGCCTGCAGGAAGTCCCTAAGAAATCATCTGACTAAAAATTTTTAGGGGCGCCTGGGTGGCTCAGTCGGTTGAGCGTCTGACGTCGGCTCAGGTCATGATCTCACGGTTCGTGAGTTTGAGCCCCGCATTAGGCTCTGTGCTGACAACTCAGAGCCTGGAGCCTGCTTCCAATTCTGTGTCTTCCTCTCTCTCGGTCCCTCTCCCCCTCATGCTCTGTCTCTTTCTCTCAAAAATAAACCTTAAAAAAATTTTTTTTTTAATTTTTAGAAGAACTCGACATCTTTGTTATCTTGGGGAAGTACATGTTTGATGCCATAGAATAATGAAATTCCTCATTTTACTCTTCTGTCTTTACTAGAGCTCTTCACATAAGACTTTTTTAAGAAGCCTGCCGTACTCTCCTAACATAGGGCATAGTTTGCATGGCAATAACAGTAGGCAATGCACTAAAAATTATGGCAGAGGGGCGCCTGGGTGGCTCAGTCAGATGAGCGTCCAACTCTTGGTTTTGGCTCAGATCATGATCTCTCAGTTGTGGGTTCGAGTCCTGCATCAGACTCTGTGCTCACAGTGTGGAGACCACTTGTGGAGATTTTTTTTTCTTTCTCCTTCTCCCTGCACCTCTCCTGCTTGCTCTCTCTCTCTCTCTCTCAAAGTAAATAAGTAAACTTTGTGTTTTTTTTTTTAATTATGGCAGAAAAAATATGGTAGAAAAATTATGATAGAGGTAGATTTTTGCTTTTCAGATAGCCAGTCAATCCTGGAATTTTGCAAATTATCAATTACACAAAGCAAAATAAAATTTTTATTTGTCTTCAGAATCATAAAGAAGAAAATGTGGGCATTTTTAACAAGAAATCAGGAAGTTATTTGTTATACTTAAAAAGTAAATATGCCTTTTAATTTAAATTTTCCTATCAATAGCAACTGTGATATTTAATTTCACACAAAAGGGATGTGAATACCTATGTCTTTGTGGAGTTTTGTGAGCCCTCCTTTCTTTGCAAGTTGATAAATATTATTTTAATAAGCTTCATAATGATGAATGATTTTCTCATATTATGGATTCATTCCTTTGAGTGGCAGTTTAAAAAACCTGATCCCCTAATACAATAAAGTACTTCAGTGAAAAGAAGCTTGAATTTGTTTATCTTTTTGTTTTGTTTTGTTTAGTTTTGTTTTTACAGCACTTCTAAAGATAGTAAAAACTTTGGAAGTCCAACAGAAGAATTGCTTTGGTGCCACAGTAAGAGACAAAGTAAGTTGTTGGTTGTGAAAAACCCTGGGCATGTCTCCAGGGAGTATGTCGGTAATAAAGGGACATCCTACGTCATGAAAAATCCATAGAATTTATTTTATAATGGGTGTTTGACACTCATCCCACATTCACATTTGCTCTGTTATAACCTCTAAAAACTATTTTAGCCGATGTTAGACCTCTCCTAGCAAAATAACCCTTTTTCTTTTTGATTCTGTCTTAAGTACACTCCCAATAAACAAAGTCAAGGCAAATAGTCTGTAAAATACAGATTATGCAAAATAAGTGTGCCATCGATGTTTTCTGATATCCAGATGTTAAGATATTAAGCTACCATCGATGTTTTCTGATACACAGAAGAAAAAGCAGCATAGAAATGCAGGCTCTTCTGTCAGCCACCAGATCTGCAACGCCCGTCATGGGCAGCCGTGCCGTCACAAGAGTAGACTTCTAGGTGTTCCCTAACTCAGTCTCTCGTGTCCTGAGAAGTGGCGTTTACACCTCGGCACCAAAGGCAAAATGGATGCTTATTTAAGGCGTTTTTGTTTTGTTTTGTTTTTTACCTACCCCTTACAATACCTTGATTAAAAGTAATTGCCACTTTCAGTGTAACACTCAGCATTATGTAAATATGATCCTTCCCACTGGCATTCGCGAAGGTGGTCCTCTAACTTTCCAACAGATGTACAACTTGTGAACATATGTGGTTGCGCTTACATTTACAGAAGCTTTTTTAAAAACACGAGGCACTGGTCTCACTAATTGACTAAAAATGGGACATGAGTAACAAATAAGGAATAATGAAATGGGAGAGCACTGTAAGGGAGACTAATGTTAATGAGGAGGGGAAAAATAGCTTTCTTAGGTCAATCTGAAGAGGTTTATCATCTGCACTGTTGTTACCATCCAAACAGCCTCTAGACCATGGCAGAATTCATGGTAATCTTGAGTTAATGATTCCCATGTAGGGGGAAATAAAAATAAAAAAAAAAGTTTTGTTACCTAAAAGTTGGGGATGACTTTTGATATATGTAGAAATTCCTCAACGGATTATTTTCTCTCTCATCATAGAATTTATACTGAATTGAGAAAAACAGCATAAAACATTTGACAGCAGATGTAAACTCAGTCTGCTGAGACAGATCCACTTATAATCTTGAAGAATGGTGTATCAATTAAAGTGCAGGATTAGGGGGGCGCCTGGGTGGCTCAGTTGGTTGAGCGTCCGACTTCGGCTCAGGTCATGATCTCACGGTTTGTGAGTTGAGCCTTGGTCCGGGCTCTGTGCTGACAGCCCAGACTGGAGAGCTGTCTTGAGATTCTGTCTCTCTCTCTGCTCCTCCCCTGCTCATGCTCTGTCTCTGTCTCTCAAAATAAATAAATAAACATTAAAAAATTTTTTAAAAAAGGGAAGGATTGGGGTGCCTGGGTGGCTCCACTGGTTAAGCATCCAACTCCTGATTGCTAAACAGGTCATGTATCTCCTGGTTGTAGCACCCCATCCAGACTCTGCACTATTAGAGGCCTCCTGCTTCGTGCTCTCTCTCTCAAAATAAATAAATAAAACTCAAAATGTTTTTTAATACAGTGAAGGAATTATTTCTGGATGTGATTAATCAGCTAAGATGAAAAATCATCCCAAGCTATTTCTGATCGCTTACTATCTGCAAGGCATTTTAATAACAACCTGATACTTGGAATGATGCCAAGAAGGATTAAAAAAATAGCCTTACAATCAGGGAATTGACAGCCTGATAGGAGACATATAAATATAATAGTATTAACTAGAAAAACTGTATTTCCAGGTGTAAAAATGCAGAAGGTTAAAAGAAGGGCCAGGGCATTCTTAAATCCAAGGAACTCAGATAACTGTACAAATGTGATGCTAATTCGAGCTGACCACTGGCGCATGGGGAAGATTTGGATGGGGCATTTGCATGGGGAAAGGGGGAGAAATGATAGAATTCTCTTGGAGGGTGTGTGGGGTATCCAGCATGCTGGTGCGACTGTGCAAGCATGGGATGGGGTGCTGTACACACAGTCTACACTGTGTAGCAAAAGCAGTGTCATTCGGTAGACGACAGCAGAGGTGCAGACTTATACACACCGCTTCTGAATGCCACGTATCCCCCGTGTGACCTGGGCTGATTCACACAGGATCTATAAACCATAGTTTTGTCGTCTGAAAACAATCAGGATGAAAACACCTACGTGCTTTCATAGGAGGCTTGAGACCGCATACTTAGCTTTACAAGGTAAATAAGATACAAAGTTTATTTTGTAGGGAAAAATGTATGCTTCCGTAGAAAGTTATGCATTGTCCCGATTCTAGAGCTTACTGGATTCTGATTGTGTGGCCGGTGTTCCGCAACGTTGTAAATTACGGCGAACTCACAACAGTGCAAAGTAACCCTTGCTGGTGACAAGCGAATTCAGTCCTGTCAGGCAGAAGCTGAACTGGCTTCTCTCCCCACAGCAGTGTTTTGTCTCCATTTGTACATTCATTTCAACATTCCTTCCCTTTTACTTTTATATATTTATTTATTTTAGAGAGAGGGAACGTGGGGGAGGGGCAAAGGGAGAGGGAGAGAGAATCTTAAGCAGGCTCTTAGGCGTGGACCCCAACACAGGACCCGATCTCACAACCTCACGACCGTGAGCTCACTACCCGAGCCAACATCAAGGCTCGAGCCACCCAGGTGCCCCGACACTCCTTCACTTCTTCCTACCAATTTGTGCTTTTTGACTTTTTTTTTTAATTGGTCACTATGTTTGCCTGATTCCTTCATTAATTGAATAAAATCTTTTCACCTCTCTTCCAACACTTCATTCTTTCTACTAAACATTATTTTGCTATGGTAGCTGCATACTATGTGTGGCTCTGGTTGATTGCTACTGACTCTGGATACACTTCAGGGTATTTACCCATATTTTTTTTTAATTTTTTTAATGTTTTTATTTATTTTTGAGACAGAGAGAGACAGAGCATGAGCAGGGGAGGGTCAGAGAGAGAGGGAGACACAGAATCCGAAGCAGGCTCCAGGCTCCGAGCTGTCGACACAGTTCCCGACGCGGGGCGCGAGCTCATGGAGTGTGAGATCATGACCTGAGCTGAAGTCGGACGCTCAACCGCCTGAGCCACCCAGGCACCCCAGTATTTACCCATATTTTTAAAAATCCAAGTGTGTGACGCACGGGCTGAATTGATCGCAAGCACAAAGTAAATGGCAGTGTTTGGAAAGAAATGTTTCACCTACGGCTTCATAACGCAGCACATGGTCGCTGCTGCTCATGGTTGCCTCCCCAAGACCCTTTTCAGGGCTCCTTTTATCTCCTTGTTCCTTAAGGTGTATACGAGTGGGTTCAGCATGGGGGTGACCAGGTTGTAGAAGAGGGTGAGAAACTTGCCCTGGTCTTGGGAAGCGCTGTTCCCGGGCTGCATGTACATGTAGATGATGCTCCCGTAGAACAGAGAGACCACGGTCAGGTGGGAGCTGCAGGTGTTGAATGCCTTGCGGCGCCCAGCGGCCGACCGGATCTTCAGCACGGCTGCCGCGATGTGGCCGTAGGACACGAGAATGAGAGCGAGGGGCAGGAGGACGATGAGGATGGCGAAGGTGAAGGCCAGCATTTCCACCGCGCGGGCGTCCACACAAGCCATCTTGATCAGTGCTGGCATTTCACAGAGGAAGTGGTTGACCCTGCGCCGGCCACATCTGGACAGAGTCATTGCGAGCGGGGACATGACGATGGCATTGACCAGTCCACTCCCCCAGGCCACGGCCACCAGTCGCAAACACAGCTGGGGGTGCACAATGACCAGATAGTGCAGAGGCCTGCAGACCGCGGCGAAGCGGTCATAGGCCATCACGGCCAGGAGGATGCACTCCACGCTCCCCACACAGAGGAAGGAGAAGAGCTGGACCGCACAGCCAGCGTAGCTGATGGTCTTGTCAGGGCCCCAGAGATTCACCAGCATCTGCGGGATACAGCTCGTACTGAAGCAGAGATCTAGAAAGGAGAGATTGGCCAGAAAGAAGTACATTGGGGTATGAAGTCGAGGGTCTAAAATACACACAAGGATTATGGTTGAGTTTCCCAACACAGCCACTGAATACAGAGTGAAATTGACCACGAAGAGTACCAGCTCCAGCCTCGGACGATCAGAGAAGCCCACTAAGATAAAACCATACTCTGAGCTGTCATTGGATTTTTCCATGGTCTTCCTTTCACATCATCTGTATACCTGTAAGAATAAAACAAACACCGAATCGATATTTTCTAAAGCCCCTGAATGTCGGGACCTTTAAGGAACAGGTAAGCCACCAAGTCCAATATCAGAATAGCTTCTGCCCAGCTATAGAAGCCATTCATCATTTGTTCAAACACGTAATGCAAATTATTTCATTGTTGGAAAATTCCAGCTTCTAATCATCATCCATTTATTAAGGAGGAATTTTTTTCCTAATTCATGAGAAAGAGAATTTCAACTTCATTGAATATACTTCATATCTAATCTCTCTTCATATGACAGCCATTTAAATGTTTTGAACTAAACTAAATTTTCTTTAGGTCAAGACATTCAATTTCCCTTAATGATTCTCCCTATAACAAGGTTATCAAGTCTATGATCACCTTGCAACCATCTTCCACGTACCCTCAATGTTGGCCATGACCTTCTGGAAATGTGACAGCCAAGGCTGAGTTCAGTATCCAAGATATGATTGGAAAAACACAAGGTAAAGAGAAACTAACATGACCTGGAGATTAGATCCTTATTAAGAAGGAATAAGGTTACAATTACTTCATGGTGTCAATGTCACCTTTTTATTTAGGTTATAATTGAATCTGCCAAATATTTACTGATTCCTGTGAAATGCTGTCAAGTCAAATCTCTTTCATTCGTTTCTCTGAAAGAAAAAGACTTCTGTAGTGTAGAATTGCGAGGATCAAGGGAGATATCACATCCACTAATAAAATGGCAACTTTGGGCACATTGGTCTTCTGGTCGTCTTTCAGAAACATGGAAACAGCATAATTAGCTTGTGGAAGAGAGGTGCATGGCCAGAGGGATGAAGGGAGAGAGAAGGAAAGAGACTGTGGTAAAGAGAGTGATTTAAAAAGTAGATGGAAAAAGATTGAGGCTCAAAAGAATAAAGGCTCAAAAGAATAAAGAGAGCTGGCTTCATAAAAAGACAGGTGTATACTTGGAATCGAGGATGCCAGGATAATAACGACCCTAACAAAGAAAGGGAGAAAAGTGTGACAACAGCAGAAAAGCAGGTACAGAAGGAAAAGTACCTCAGACCGTCTGTCATGTTGATTCTGTGAGAACCGAAGCCAAAATAATGACTACAATTATTAAATGGCCATTGTAAAATATCTACTCTGCTGTGTGATCTAGAGGATCAAGGGCTGCTTCGATTATGATAATATGTTCAACTAGCAAGGTGGGACAAATGAAGGCAGAGGAGAACACAAGTTGTCACAAATATTTTAATTTTCAAATTAGAAAACCGTATCTTTGCTGATAACTGCTCAGCTTCAAAGTTCTTACAGTACATTTATTTTCCACAGCAAAATATAATATACCAAAGTGAAAGAAAGAAAGTTTTCTTAATTTTCTCTAATCATTTAGGCTTACCTGACTTCAACTTTCCCAAAGGATTTAGGGATAACACATAGTAATGTTTTTTCCTCACGTTGGGATTTGTTACCTGGGATTTTGTGGGAGATTGTGCAGTTAACGTAAGTAGAAAATAACGATAGGGTGATGTGACACTAATGCACCAGAAATCATATAGAAGCGGTTACAAAGACCTCAGCTTGTCCAGAAAGGGTACGACATACAAGCCCTGAGGTGACTTGTGTGCATTAGATTCTAGTTTCTTCCTGAAGATAAGAGTTGTAAAAGCTGTGTGATTTCTCTAATAATTTGACTAACGTGATAGAGTAATGGTGTGTTGCTACCTCAGAGGAAAAGTAAAATAGAGTAATTGCTGTAGGGCAGTTAAATTATAGAGAAAAAAAGGCAACTGTCGTGGAAAATAGGGTTAGCTGTTCCTCCCCTGTCTGCCTGCCATTTGGGCTGAATAGCCAGCCTTCAGGAGCCTTCTAGGAGCCGTCCACCCAAACCCCAAGGTGAGGCAAAGACTTCCTGCTGACCCCAGAAGATAACCAGTGCAGGCGTGGAAGCTCTTATAGATGCACATAGAATAAATGGAGGACTAATTTCTTAGCATCAAAATGGTACCTAGAGGTTGACAGCATGTTTCCTTGTTGAGATTGCAGGGACTGTGTACTCCTTTGGGTAATTAGCAGGGCTACAGAAGAAACTAGAGGTGCAAATTCTTCGGGGAAATCTTGGAATAACACCAAGATGATTGGGCATCAGCACTCTTAGATTCTTGGTTTCTACCTGGGGCCATAGTCTCAAATTTTGATGTGTGTGGTGGGGGTGGGGGGCGGTTAACTATTTCTGGTGTTTGGTGGGACAAAAAAGTTCAAGTTTGGCAATATAGCACAAATAGGAACATCTTCCAAGCACCTCTTTGTCCTTGAAGTGAGATTTAGTCTGTTTTCTAAGGAAACAATCTTAAAGTCAAATTTCTTTCCATTTTAATATAATTTTCAAAAGGGTAATGCAAAAGAGTAAATAAAGTTTCTCTTTGTAACTTGATTTTTAACTTTTATTTTCACTTAGGTTGGCAAAGTTTCTAGAATATAGTAAACATAAAGCAAATACTTGGAATTTGATCGATTGGTGTTCTTTACATTATAATCAAACAAATGGGCAGTGGATAACAAGATGAAATGTAGTGAAATAGTAATTCATAAGATCCCAAAATACATAAAACTTTTTCAACCTCATTTATGATTTATAATTATTTATAATTAAATAAATACAAATTAAAACACTGCGATCTTTTCACTTTGGTAATATCCAATCCGTGAGGATATGAGAGAATGGCACTCATACACTGCCTGTGGGAATGTCAATCAGGTTTACAATTTTGGAGGATGGTTTTACCAAATTTAAATTTGGCAAATGCACAAATCTTTGACCCACTAATTCCAATTCCTTGAATTTATTATTAGGATTGCTTCCATAGGTGTGTAAAGATATATATGTATCTTTATATCTATATACCTATATGGATATCACAGTTACATTGTGGCTAAAAAAGGAAACAGACTAAATGTCCATTAACTGAATAATAAATGTTTACACAGTTGTAAGATAAATAACATAAAAAGCCCAAACAATGTAATGTGTATTGATATTGGTGTTTGTAAAGAATTGAGGAGCACCTGGGTGGCTCAGCTGGTTAAGCAGCCGATTTTGGCTCAGGCCATGATCTCACAGCTCATGGGTTCGAGCCCCACGTCAGGCTGTGTGCTGACAGCTCAGAGCCTGGAGCCTGCTTCGGATTCTGTGCCTCCCTCTCTCTGCGCCCTCCCTGCTCGCATTCTGACTCTGTCTCTCTCAAAAATAAATAAAACATTTAAAAAACTAAACGAAAAAAATTGATATGAAATTGATAATCATGGAAACAAAAATGAAATATAGAAAGCATATTTTAAGTATATTATATATTAAATATATCTATTAAGTATATCGTACATATTAAAATTATATTAAATGTAATTTCTATTTTAAAACATGTTGAAATTAATAAAATTAAATATAATTTTTATTTTCCATGTTTACATAAATATGCAAAGATAATGGGTGTTTGGAGGAGAAAGATTTTGTTTCCATTTTTCCAAATTAAAAAAAATTAACATATAACCATATAAAAATGTAACATATAACCATGATTATGTTGCTTTAAACATTTAAAAGAAATAAAACTTTGGAAGGGAATACAAATAATTTGCTTTGAGTATAGTATTTAGGTTTGACCCCAGCACAATCTCTAGCTCACAAAGAGCACAGATCTTTGCATCTCATTGCCAAGGCACGAACATCACTGCGAGTGGCTGCATGCAGATTCTATAGAGCCCATGATCCAGCTTTTTTAAAAAATGTTTATTTTTGACAGAGAGAGTGTGCATGCATGTGCATGGGCAAGCGGGGAAGGGGCGGAGAGAGAGAGAGACAGAGGATCCCAAGTGGGCCCTGTGATGACAGCACAGAGCCTGATGCAGGGCTTGAACTCACCAACCGTGAGATCGTGACCTGAGCAGAAGTCAGAAGCCCACCCGACTGAGCCCCCCCAGGCGCCCAGCCCGTGACTCCATCTCTGTGACACAGGATCACACTGCCCCAGAGCTCTCCAGATGCTTGGTCTTCTGACCCACATTGACATAGGTGTATAATTACATTCATTATTTCCTCACACCACCCAGGAATTTGGTAGGAAATAAATTATTTTGCCTCGTTCACAGATTGACATTTAAGTAGAGAAAACAAGTACTTTTCAAGATCACAGCAGGAAAAAGTTCGACTTGTAGCACCGAGACCAAGTCATAGCTCAGTTGATGAAATGAGCGGTTTCCACCAGCTATGCGCCTGATCCCTCGCAATTAAACCTCACCCTGATTCTCTGGGCGCAGATGGAACCTGTAAACGTGGTGCGACCATAAGTATTTTTGTACAAACTACTAGTTTAAAAAATTTTTTTTTTCTCAACGTTTTTATTTATATTTGGGACAGAGAGAGACAGAGCATGAACGGGGGAGGGGCAGAGAGAGAGGGAGACACAGAATCGGAAACAGGCTCCAGGCTCCGAGCCATCAGCCCAGAGCCCGACGCGGGGCTCGAACTCAGGGACCGCGAGATCGTGACCTGGCTGAAGCCGGACGCTTAACCGACTGCGCCACCCAGGCGCCCCACAAACTACTAGTTTAAAAAAGAAAACAAATTGGCTCGATTTTCTTCTTTTTTTTCAAGATGGTGGTGTGAATAAGTATGGAAGAGTAAGTATAGAAGAAACGAGAGATAATAATACCTTGTTTTCCACCTTCAAATGCTTTACAGTGTGAACATAAAACGAATGAATCTACATAACTAAGAAGAAAATGCAAGGTTTTGAGTCTTTGGGGTTTATTTTTTTCTGTTTTTCTCGTCTTTTAAGTGAAAAGAAAATACAACCGCCTATTATTTCACCAGACACGTGACTTATTCACCCTGCAAGTTGTGTTCTAAAGGAGATGACAGAGAAAGATGAGGTTATAGGCTGAAAAAAAACCAGAGAATGAGAAATGTTCGGATCT